GTGACTTGACTGAATTGGTGTTGAAAATCCGGATGTTGTTCACGCTTTATACTGAGTGCAGTGTAGAAGATCTCCACACTGGCTTCAGGTTGATGAACGCTTGTCTTGATTTTCAAATCCTGGCTTTGACATCCTCGTCTATGCCGCCTGTAGTTGAAACGATGCTGCCTAGAAAGGTGAAAGAGGTCACTTCCTTTAGGTTCCCCCGCTAATGGTGACTGGAGCTTGTTGTTGTTGGTGTTGGTGGCTTTGGTTGGGTATCTTCATCACCTTTGTCTTCTCTTCATTCACTTGCAGTCCTGTCTTCCCTGCCCTGTCTCTTCTGTCAACTTGTTAGTTTTCGCCTGTACATCTTCAAGTTTATGTGACATTAGACTTAAGTCATCAAATCCAAATCTTCTAGGATGTTTTCCTTGGTCCAACCAACGTATCTCCCCCTTCTCGCTCCTCACTCTTTGTTGCATGATCCAGTCCAGTCGACCACAATCAGGGAGATCATGGGTGATAGTAGACAGTCTTGTCCTACTCTTTCATATCTTCACATCACAGGCATCATTGAGCTTTCCATTGTGAATTACTTGGTATGTGGTGTCTTCATGTAGTTGTTGCATGAGATTGATAAAGGTTTGTGGCACCAAAACCATAGTGTTGAAGTAACTGCCTGCTAAATTACTTGTCGGTCGACGCTGTCAAAGGCCTTTTCAAAGTCGATGAAGTTGAGGTAAACAGTTGAGTTGAATGCCATTCTATACTCCGTTCTATCATGTTGTGAAGCGTTGAAAATCGATCCGCACATGATTTGTACTTCCTGAATCCAGCCAGCCTGTTACGGTTGTAATTTTGAATTCAGCGTATCCTTTAGTCTCTCCAGGATGATGCAGCTTAATATTTTGCTTGGGTTGGACAGGAGCAAGATTCCTCGCCAGCTCTTACAAAAAATTAGGTCGCGTTTCTTCGACAGTTTGACAAGGTAGCCCTTCTTCCAATCGGTTAGCAGGTACCTTTCCTTCCTTCCTTTTAAACTTTCTTCACTAGTGGTGTCAGCATGTCCGCTGTTGTCTTTGCGTCTGTTTTCAGTGCTTTTGATTGAATTCTATCTGGTCCTGCTGCTTTCCCGCATTTCAGTAGCTTTATGTGGTTCGGGACTTCGACTTTTGTTGGAGTTCCTGTGTTCACTTGTAATTCCCAGATAGTAACCTAATTATTTGATACAATGTTGTCAGATCTCTATCTCTCCTACCTGCAGCCTGTTCTGCCTCACTTGCTAGTGTGTCGTAGAAGTGTCCCTTGTCTTTGCGCGCACTCTTCTTTACTTCTTTATCCAGTGTTTTACACATTGTACTCACTTCCTCCTCTTGTTGTTCATTCTTGAACTGGTTTGTCTTCTGCTTCATCATCCTCCTCTCCTCTATCAGCTTCCATATGTCCGTCGAGATCCACTTCCTGTCTTGTCTTGCTTCTTCTTCCTTCCTAACACGGTTATGCAGGTTTCTTTCCACATAGCTTTCATAGAGTTTCAGTGTTCTTCCACACAGGTTTCTTCAAGGATGTTGCTCGATATCTCCCATTTTGTCTTGATGGCTGACATGAAGATTTTCTTTGTAGTTTCGTCCTTCAGTTTCTGTTCTGAATGTAGGACCTGAACTATGGTCTATCATTAACTTCCTCGAAGGCTTTCAACTTGATTTTGATGGTAGGCTCCTTGCACTAGATAGTGAGTGGTCTGAACCTATATCTGCTCCTCTTCTTGGCCTTGTGTCAAGTAGGCCACGTCTCCACTTTCTTGAGATTGAGATAAAATCGATCTGATTTTTAGTGTGTCCATCTGACGAAATCAACTCCATGTCGCTTTGTGGATACTTTTGTGCTTGAACACACTGCCTCCAATCACCAAATCGTTGGATGCACAGAATTCTGCAAACAATTCTCCATTCTCGTTCATCACCTCACCGAGTGCTTCTCTATCTATGATGAGTTCTCTTCCTGTGTTGTCCGCTCTCAGTTCGGCATCCATATTACCCCATCGATTAGAATTTTGATGTCACCAACCGAGGTCTTGTCCAGTGTAGATTGCAGTTGTCTGTAAAATTTCTTCTTCTTCTCTTCATCTGCATTATGTGCAGGTGCATAGTGTAGCATTGAACGATTGTGACTTTCTTTCCTTTTGAGTTGAATCTTGCTGTCATGATCCTGATGCTGGAGGAGATTGGTTCCCACTGCATGAGAGCCTTCGATGCTCTTGGAGACATCATGATAGCCACTTCATAACTCAGTGTGCTCGTGGTTGTCGTCTGGGTGACAATATCGGAGTAGATTATTGACTCAGCAGTTAAGAGTTTGGAGAGTCCACTTCCATTCCACCTGCTTTCGCAGATTCCTAGCACTTCTATGATATACCTTCTCATCTCTTTTGCAACCTGGGCTGCCTTGCTAGGTCTGCACATGGTGCAGACATTCCATGTCCCCACGTTTACTTTCAATTTCATCGAGAGAAGACACATCGGCCAATTGGCTTCCCGAAGGCTTTCACCAACCGTTGTCCTTTTGCCTCTCCTAACATTCTTTGACGTCAATATTAGAATTGTATTCTCTTGTCAGAAATTCATTCATCAGCACGAAAGGATAAGCTGGAAGACTAGGCCACATCAATGTGTGGCCATATCGTGCACCAGCTTTTGAAAATCTCTCGTGATCACTTCCCAATCAGGTTGACAATATGAGGGCAGAAATGCATCGTTAGCTGGGTAGTTTAATGTTTAATGAACTCCGTACACTCCTTCAAATTGTGACATCTTGGCACAGCTGAAGTACTACTGTGGTGAGTGCTACTGATAAGAATGGATGTAAGTAGTATATGTTGAGAGGGCGGCAGATATCGTAGACAATTACCAGTAGTGGGTAAATATTCATCCTAGAAAAGCACAAGATACAATTTGAGCGTGTTAAGAGCAAGTCGAGACAGAAGCAGAAGAGGTAACGAAGCATATTGTACAAATGACTGTTTTCCCACCATCTCTTTCTTTTATTGGTAGCTGCTATCGGTATGGTACAAGGCTTCAGTTCTGTTACGGTATATGACTCTCGGAAATTAACATAGAATCTATATCTTTTATTGGACTTCCTTAATAAAAGCAATGGCGAACTGTGTGGGCTACTAGCCTCTTCATTTAGCATTTCCTCAACCTGGCGCCCAACTTCCTTCTTCCAGGTTTCCTTCCATCCATACGTTTCACGGTGTCATATACTGCTTTCACTCTACCCCTTCATTAGCGTGTAAAGCATCACAACGTTTGGTCTTGGATTTCGGACATCTACCAGCTCCGCGACCTACTCAAAGTCCCTGAGGAAGACCTTGATGTCTCCATCCTCGAAACACAGTAGGCCATGAAATCTTCATCACATCCAGAAACAGCGACATTAATTATAGGTAAAGAGAAGCCTGAGACCCAGGGAGGAATACTTATCATTGATATGTTGTACAGTAATCTTCAAATATCTTACACTTCCACTAAGACAGTCATTTATACAATGTGTTTCTATTCCTCTTCTGCCTCTATGCCAACTTGCTCTTAACACGCTCGAATTTTATCTTGCGTTTCTCTTGTCGGAATATTGACCCATTGCTGATAATTGCCTATGATTTCTGTCAACCTCCCAACATATACTACTTATATCCGTTCTGATCAGCAATGCTCAATACATAACCTCTTTCTTTACGATGGCTGTCAAGAAGCATCTATCAGTCTAAATAATTAATCCCATCATGATATAACAATGTCTTATTTTGTAATCATTTATTTCCTGTATTTCAAACATCTGTATATTTTGCGCAAACTCCATTTACCTTTACAATTTATTCTGAATTTTGACTGATAATTACTGTGCAGTTTTCAAGAATGTACACGTAAGAAAATGATTTCATTGAAAGAAACTGTTTTCTTCTTCGCTTCAATCATCTTGAATATCTGAAGATGTTTCATGGATGCAAGTCTGTGATGAATACCAACTTGGAAAAGAAAAAAAACTAGTCTGCGATGAATAACAACTTGAAATAATTCCAAATCTCTACAACTCCCTCAAAATTAAACTGGACTGGTGCTCATTGGTGACTAGCTTCAAGAGGTATTCCCGAAGTTCCAATGAGAAGTCGTGACCGGTGGAAGCAAAGCCTGATGGTTGTGAGGACAGTTACTCAACGAGGACATTGGGTGGCGGTTGCGCTATATTGTGAGCTAACAGAAGTTGGAAATATGGACGACTGGATTCTGACCCAGTGGCTAGCTCAATGGTAACGTTCTGGTCACGGGACCTGAAGGTCGTGGGTGCGCACTGCTGAGGAGTCCCATAGCAGGACAAAACAGCTGTCCAGTACTCCCAGGTCTCCTTTGTTCCTCCAAATGAATTCAGTCTACGATGAGTAACAACTTGAAATCTGAACAGTTGGATAGAAAAGTCACTCAATGACCGTTAGATCGAACTGTTTTGGAGACATTTTTTCTCTACATTATCAAATAATATTTCAAAGATTTCATTTATTAATGAACTATGTATATTTTCTTCAAGAAAGAATTTTTTTTGATTGATTTTTTTCCCTTTCGAATAGATGAAATATTTTTCTTTTCGATATATAAATATATCTGATTGGTGGAAGTTATTTTTCATTTCTGGTTGGTTTACTTACTTAGCTTGAAATAGAATGGGAGAAGTTTTCATTTAAAAATCAAACTGTTTTATTATTATTTTCGAATAAAGAATTTTCTTGAAGCAATCAACATTATCAACCATTACATATGTTTACATATTTGATTAGTTGAAAACGCTTGATGGAATAGTTTAGACTTTCAAAATGTTTATAAAAGATTGTAAAGTCTATTATTTACATACTACTTACAAGGAAGAAATGAGTAGAATTATTCATATAAACTAAATTCATATCTTTGTGTTTCATTGTTTAATATAATGATAATTATCATTGATAAGATATAAGTAGACAATTTTCAATGGAGAAACTAACAACTGGATTCGATCTAATATCTAGAGATGATGAAGAACAGTTAACCTATAGTCATAAAAAGAATAATTCTCATTCAACTGGTTTGACTACACTGTCTTTTACAAATGAAATAAATCCAGAGTTATTACCACCAGTTTTAACAGTAACAAGTCCTACTGATAGTAAACCCTATAGTATAGATTTATCATGTAATACTCATAAAATTGAAGCAAAAGATGAAGAGGATATGACCACTAGAAAACGATATCAATTATCCGTTGATTTAGGATGTTCAAGTTATGATACTGGTAGTAAATTAAGACGATATAGTGATCAAGGTGGTACTAGAATATCTCCTATGAACTCACATCTTTCTTTATCTTCACCATATAAACGACGAAGTTTATATAATATTACTACAAATTCACATAATCATGATTATTATAAGACAAAACTTTATCCACCGACAAGAACAAAGAATACTTCTTCATCTAATGTTGATCTTTTAGCTGAAGCTATATTACAAATGCATGGTACATTGAAGTGTAAGTTATTCTTTATAAAAAATGTTTATTTTCAATTGTTGAAATTAATTAGCTACAGTAGTCTCTACGATCTGTATTGTGAGATTTTGTAGAGTGAAGTTTTTATGTTTTATGATTATTATTATTTATCCCTTGGGTTCCTAGGGCTTAATTAGCACGTCGCCATTTAATTCATTTTAACCTGACTTCCGCACTGCCCACAACCTTCATTTCCTCCTCATACCGTCTGCTATATGTCACCCTCAGACGCTCAACTCATCCTTTCCCATTTCATTCACACTCGATAGTCTCGTCTGACGCCTGATATCCCCAATCGGCTCTCTCAGTCTACGTCCAATCCAATCCATTTCCACTCTCTTTTTTTTGTACTTTTGTTGGGCAATAGGTTGTTAGTTCGTTGTCAGGCCAAACTTCCTCCTTGCTTATACTTTCTCGCCTTCTCATCTCATCTCATCGTCAGTATGGAGTGAGCATAGATGGCAGCTATTGATGTATCTCCGTAGGTTGTTGGAGTAAGTCTCTCAAACATCACATAAAAGCACTGACTTACTTGACTGAATTAGTGTTGAAAATCCAGATCTTATTCACGCAGTGCAAATCAATGCAGTCGATCTCGACACTGCCACTAGAATAACGAGGGAAAGCTTGTTTTGCTGTCTGTCCGATCCTCGCTTTCACACCTTCATCTGTGCCTGTGCCGCTGCCTATGGTTGAAAGGATGCCGCCTAGGTAGGCGAAAGAGATAACTTCGTTTAGACTTCTCCCATTGATGATGATTGGTGCTTGCTGTTGTTGTTGTCACCCTCTGGTCTTCTGTGCGTTCACCTGAAGGAAGTCCCGTCTTCCCTGCTCTGTCCCTTCTACCAACTTGTTAGTTTCGCCTGTAGATCTCTAAGCTTATGCGACATTATTGCTTTACTGAGTCGAATTTCTCGACCTCTGTCGACAGTTGGGCTACTATGTTGATACCCCGATCTTGCCTGAGTATTTATTACATTTTAGTCTATTTGGAGGCTAACAGGGGGAATGAGTACGTACTTTTCGTTCTATTAAGGATTTGTCAGCTCAATGTACCCGCACCCCAGTGTGGAATGTTGCTCCCACTGAGACTCATCGCTTAACATGACGAGACCTTGTTAACTACGCAGTATCATGGCATCCGCATACACGTGTCTCTGCCAAAAAAGGTTGAGTGATTCAACTCAGTATAGCAAAGTGAAATAACACGTATCAACAAGCAACAACTTGGGGAGTGACCGTCGTACTTCAGTGAAGAGGTGGATAAGTTCGTGGTTCGAGTCTCAGCGGGAGAGACATCACTCACTGCGGTGTAGGCACATCCAGTTAACTAGTGAGTCCCAAACGGGATGAAACATGCGTTTTGAGCTCCACTACTATACAGTTGCATAGTTTTGAGTGCTTAGAAGTGATCAGAATATATCAATCCTAGTTTGCAACGTATCTACTAAGCTAAATAATGTAACAATAAAATGCATTGTAATTAGAGTGTTCAATGTTTGGAATCGGTAGGCAGAAAACTCTATTTAATCAAATAAATCTTACTGATGCTTTCCGATAAGTATGAAACCAAGGTGAACCAGGGTTCTCTGTTGATTGCCTGCCCACATCTAACATCTTGGACTGAATTTCTTCTAGAAATTTAACAGCAATTAGTTTCCAAGGTAGAATTGAATAGCATAATAAGGTGACGAAGATTATTTGTAACATATAATGCTTATTGGTGCTAAACGTTTTAATTAATCTGATCGCACATAAACTTGGCAAAATATTTCTATGAAAACTCATCAAAAGTGGTCATTTAATTCAGTAGGAAACGTATGAAAAAGAAAGGGTGAAGTATTCAGCATGAAGTTAGTGTAGATGATGTCGTCTAGAAAGACGATGACAGCTTCACGATTAAACAACCCAGCTCAGAGAACGCAATACAACTAACATCATCTATCTGAGCTACAAATATTCTCTGCTATTTCAAAATTATACGACCGCAGCTAAGATTCAGATAACTGGATATTTGAACCCTGTGTACATGTTGAAGCCGTTCAAACGGGTGACTTTAAAAGCCACCCTAACGACTGCCAAAATAATCAACGAAGTTGAAGTATCTCATCTCGGAAGTTTTTTTCATAGAATAGAGAATCGCGATTGGTTGTTTTATCACTTGCTAAGATGGCCTTTAAAATTGCTCCTATCAAATAGGCAGATTATATCATGAATGATTGTAAAAGCCACCCTAGCGACTGGTGAGATTACCAATTACGTTTCTCTATTTCATGAAAAACTACCTTTCAAGCCAGAATACCGAAACGTGATCGGTTATTTCTGCAATCGCTAGGGTAGCCTTTAAAGTCGCTCACATATTCCAAATTGGGTTGTGAAGAAATACACCCGCCTGACGCTTTTGGTACTGAAACAAATGCAAAACCCCTCAGTATTTAAGCCTTGTTGAAATACAGTCTAAGATAGTTTTACAGAGCTTATCTTTGAGACATGTCAGGGAAGTATTTTAAAGTTTTATTGATTCACTAGTCAGTGCTATCAAAGTAGAATCAAGGTGAGTACAAATGTTTTGGCCATAGACAAAGAGGGTGTACATTTTAGTGGCTTCAAGTGAGACTACAATAAAGGCGACCCTAGCAACTGATGAGATAGCCAATCAAATTCTTTTATTTCATTGTTAAACTGACCTTTTAGCAGAAGACTGAAACCTGATTGGTTATTTCAGCAGTTGTTAAGGTAGTCTTTAAAGTCTATCCTCCACTGGGGTGACTTTAAGAGTGACTTTAACGGCCATTCTAAAAACTGCCAAAATAACCAACCAAGTTGAGGTGTTTTGACTTCAAAGAAAATGTTTCATAGAATGGAGAATCGTTATTGATTGTTCCATCAGTTGCTAGAGCGGTCATCAAAGTCGCTTCCTTCAAACGGGCAGATGATATTGTGAGAAGTGACTTTAGAGGCTGCCCTGGAAACTGCTGAATGGACCAATCAGACTTCAGCACATCGCCTTGGAAAATACTTTTCCATAACATAAAGGATTGCGATTGGTTGTCTCATTAGTTGCTAGGGTGGTCTTTAAAGTCACTTGACTGATGAAGTAATCAACTAAACTTACCTGTTTTATACAAATCTGACTTTTTGCTGAAATGAAGAAACCTGTTTGTTTATTTTCATCGTTGCTAGGGTGGCCTTTAAAATCACCCTATGATGAATGACAGTGAAGGCTATTTTAGCAACAACGGAAGTAGCCAATTACGTTTCAGTATTTTATGAAAAACCACCTTTCAAGCCGGATTGGTTACTTCAGTAGTTCCCAGGGTAGCCTTAAAAGTAGGCAAGTAGTTGTTGTAACGGGAAAAATGATTTGAAAATCCCTCCTGATCAATCTATTTGACAGTATTGACATTTATTTGAGTATTTTTACTCTCGTTATGGATGGTGTACCTTTGACCCTAGCCGATGTAAAGTTATTTTTATGTGCTTGACTGTTTTCTTTGACTTTGAACTCAGTATTTGCCTTTGTATGATTGAGACTTATCATGAATGTTTGTTTCACTTTCCTATTTATTATGTGACGCTGGACTGTTGACAACATGATATTGTTTTACTGCACTCGACATTTTGTTTTGGTTCAACTTACGGTTGTGCTATGATTTGATTGTTTGTCTTTTGACTGTCTACTGGAAACGTTTATTTGTTGATTTGATTCTAGTAGACAGGGAGAGTTTTTGATCGCCATTTATCGGGAATATTCTTATTGACTATCAGTATATATTCGTGTCAGAGAATGTTTGAATTGTATAGTTGACCAACAGCACTGTTGTGGTAGTTTAGTAATTTTGGTATAATTTATTGTGTTGTTGTAGATAGAACTACAGATTTATTACGAATCTATCATTGATTTACCACAAATCGTGTTTTTCATATTGTTAGTCCAATCTTTGATTGTGATTCATTCATGAAAGTTCAGGAACTATACAGTAGAACGCAGGAACGTGTCTGGATCACGCAAGTTTGGCACCACTGAGTTATTTCCCGTGTTCAGAAAAAAATGATTGAAATTTTGTGCTTACAGTTTTATTTATAAGTTTAAATATAGAGGATGACTTTAAAGGCTATTATAACAACTGGTAAAATGACCTATCAGGTCGCCGAATTCGGCTACAAAGGTAGTTTTCAATAAAACACAGAACCTTAACTGGTTATGCTGTATTATCCTGAAGAGATTAAACGATACGTTAGATTCAAAATTACAACCGCAACAGGCTGGATGAACTCGGGAAGAACAAATCATGTGTGGATCAAATTGCAACACTACGCTACGCATCATCATACAATAGAGTATAGAATGGCAGTCAACCCTTTAACTCAACTTCATCGACTTTGAAAAGACCTTCTACAGCATCGACCGAGGAGTAATTTGGCAGTTGCTTCAACACTACGGTTTTAGTACTACAAACCTTTATCAGCCTTATTCAACAACTGGATGCTACATGACAAGGCTACATGCCAAATGATTCACAATGGAAAGCTGAGTGATGCTTTCGAAGTGAAGACAAGAGCGAAACATGGTTGCCGCCCGCTATCACTGAAGATTTTCCTGATTGTGGTGGGCTGGACCGTGCAGCAAACGGTGAGGAGCTTTAAGAAGATGGACATACTCTATTTGATCGATGAAAAGACCCTAGAAGATTTAGATTTCCCCGATGATTTAGGTCTAATATCACACAAACTCGAAGATGTACAGGCGAAAACCAACAAGTTGACAGAAGAGACAGGAGAGAGAAGACGAGACTTCTTTTAGGTGAATGTAGAGAAGACACAGGTGATGAAGATACCCAACCAATAACAACAACAAGCATTAATCACCATTAACGGGAGAAACCTAAAGGAAGTAGTCTCTTTCACCTACCTACCTACTTAGGCAGCATCGTCTTAGCTACAGGCGGCACAGGCACAGATGAGGACACCAAAGCAGCAAG